ATCTGCCGAACCTTGCACTGAACAAAACCACAAACCCACAAAAAGAGCTCACTATATACAGATAGGACATCAGATCTGGCTGTTGACGGCCAAAACGGCACTGACGGTAATGCCGAACAATGTGCCCATGTGGCGTAGGCACCGGAGCCGTCGCTCGACTGATGGCAGGTAGACCTCCAACAGACCTCGGTCCTAATCGTCTCCGTCACCAACAGGGGCGACTGTTGCCGTAAGTAAAATAAACAATAATATTAATTTTAATTAATCGCATGTAAAGTGTGGTTTTGTGTGTTAAAACTTTGTAGTATTCAATTTATTGAATTCCGCGTCCAACATTCAAAGATACTATCTAAGGGTGTTTCCACAAATGTAATGATTATGACCAATATGAGACAGTTTAACATGCCGACCAGGCAGGGTAACAACAAGTACCATCTTTTTACATCTTTTTGGTATGACGCTGCCGGGGATCGAACCCCGATCTTCCGCTCTTAGTACAGACGCTCTACCACTGGACCACGGAGGAGGTTAGTTTGTTTACTAAGGAAGAAATCTGCCCAAACCATACATTACCACCGTCAACCTTTGGCTTGAAGGGGCGGTCGGGTAGCCTAGTGGTTAAAGCGTTCGCTCGTCACGCAGAACATCCGGGTTCGATTCCCGACATGGGTACAATGTGTGAAGCCCATTTGTGGTGTCCCCCGCCGTGATATTGCTGGAATATTGCTAAAAGCGGCGTAAAACCATACTCACTCACTCACTCAATTTTGCTTGAAGACATGTCCATTCTGTTATACTTGATTCCAAAGCTACATTACGTTCTTACAAAGAGAGATATATTACTGGGTCCGGCAAATGTACCACCAAATCGCAGTCGTAAAAATACATCATCATCCCTACTACAAACAAGGAAGACATTTATATGTATTCGCAGAAAGTATTTGAGACAAGTCGAATTAATACCATATGGAATCTTAAAACTTCAAATGAGTTTGTTTGAATTTTTGCATGAACTTTGTATGCATTATCCCATGCGACAAACTTCATTCCTTGAACTATGGGGCATTTGTTACATATGGCATATAATGTCCCCATGTTTTTCTGGCGAACGGTTGACGTGCTTTGCATGTGTTTGTGACGGGTTCCAACAGCTTGTGACGAGTGCCACGCCTGGTATCATTACTCTGTCAGAGAGTGATTCCGAAACATGCTTATGATATAGTCGTAATCGTACAAGCGGCTCTGTTTTCACAAGAGGTTCTTATGAATATGGAGAGTTTTGTCGCTTACTTTTGTTAACCATAGCCTCACGTTGTGGAGGGGTGGGTGGGGTGTATTATTATCACATGTTACCCCACCCAGACAAAAGATTAACCAACTTCGCTGTGGAGGTCTATACTTTTGACCCGATGACCAGCAACAGTGCCGGTGTCACGAAATATATTCGCCCCCAGAATAAAATCTCCCCCCGGCGAATTTATACCGGTACAGTTCCGCCCCTCTCGTAATAAACTCTCCCCCACCCTACGAAATATTACCTCCCCCCAGAATATTTCCTCTCCCGTTCGTTTTATAAATACTTGCCATGCAGTTCAATAGTTGCCAAACACTTCTGATAGAGACGATGTTGAGAATGTGGAGTGAAAAGGGCTTCACTTTGAGCACTGTGTTTTCTTTTAACTACCGCAATATGAGACAATAAAGTGGTAAATAGGTAGATATAATACTAGTCGTTAGATATAATGCTTTACCATTCATTGTACCATTCTAAACCATGTGAATGTTGTAATATCAGTCAATCGGGTGAGAAAACAGCCAAATCCTCGCTCTATAAAGGACTATGTCAATCATTTTGCAAGTTGAAATCACCCCTGATACTTTATGAATACTTTATGACAGTTTATGGAGTCAAAATCAATGCTGATTATTCATAAACTTAATGCTTCGTACCATAGGGCCGTGCCCTCTTCAGTGCTGAATAAAGATTGAAAATACATCAGTCAATCAAAGATGAAGGTAACTTTATACATCAGAGTTCTTGAGAATTAGTTCATGTTTTGTTCTTAGACTAACATTTCAACCATCGATTGTGTTCACATGTAGACTCAAACTGGTATATTAAAAAATGTATACAGACAACAACAACTGTATTAGAAAGATAACTATTTAAAGAATATAGTACTTAAAGACATTGCAACAAACCGAATAATCAGGGGGGAGACTTTATACTGAGGGGGGCGCGCAATAAATCCGCCCGGGGGAGATTTTATTTCAGAACAGATTCTCCGAGGGAGAATCTGTACCGGTATAAAATCTCCGGGGGGGGGGGGGGGGGGGGGGGAGGGGGGGGTAAAGGGGGGGGGGAGAGAATTTGTACGGGGGAGAGTTTATACTGGGACACCGGGCTCCAAGTTTCCAAGGCACGGTGGGCAGTGGTCTGGCGGTAGACTTGACCTGCGCCGTCAACACCATTGGACGTTACGTCAGAATAGTCAAGTACACACAGTCAAGTAACCTTGTGTGAAGTGGTGGTGAAGGGAGCCCCAGTGCGCAACACATGCGGAGGTAAGAGAATTCAGGTGACCTAACACAGTTGAGGGAGAGAGATTGCCAACATTACAGTACCCCTGGCAAATTCTCTAGTTACTTCACTCCTCGAAAACAGATTCAGCTATCTGTCTGTAACTTGGCACCACACATGTGGAGGTGAGGACATTTAAACAGATGTACACGTGAATTCATTTATATTGGTACATGTAGTGCTGTTAAATATGTCTAACTCAATATGAATCGAGTATAGCAATCAAGACAGAAGTCAAGTGAAACATCGTTAACGCGAAATAAGATGTCAAATACATGTCGAGTCTTCCTTAGTTGGGACAAGGCTAGTGCCAACATGCGATTTGGATTTTGGGGGGCAGTAAAATTATATCAGCTAACACGAAGGATATATATACAGTAAACTACGGCTATAACGAACTCGAAGGGACCACTCATTTTAGTTCGTAATAAACGTAGTTCGTTATAAGCATACATACACCATTTATACAACAAATGGTCGGGACTAAAAAAATAAGTTCGTCATATCGGTCAGTTCGTTATAAGCGTGTTCGTTATAGACGTAGTTTACTGTCTTGAAGTCCGAGTAGATGGGAAGAGGCTGCACATGTACATCCGAATCGTCGGAAGAGGAAAATTCAAATATCCTTGAAGACTCTAAGGAAGCTTTTGACTGGTCCTGCTTAAGAAAGACTGGTCTGAAAGGAAAGATTTGTGTAATGTTTGGGATTAGTGATTACAATATCAAGGCTTGATTGCAATGCAATCGGGAACCAAGTGATTGTTTTGCTCCCTGTTTGTGTACATCAAGGGTGTGTGCTGAGTCTTATTTTATCAGTACAAATTGTTGGATATGATGTACATATTTATCCTGATTTACGAGAAATTCTTATGCTTTTCTCTGCTCTTAGTTTGTGATCTTATTTTTGGCTTAAAAAATCAAGGGTACATATCGAAAATACAAATCATTAACTTCACAAGAGGTGGTCTGGGGAGATGCTCTTCTTGGTGTGTTATTTTCTCATACACTAAGTTGGCGGTCGGGTAGTCTAGGGGTTAAATCGTTCGCTCGTCAGGCCGAAGACCCGGGTTCGATTCCCATCATTGGTACAATGTGTGAAGCCCATTTCTGGTGTCCCCCGTCGTGATATTGCTGGAATATTCTAAAAGCGGCGTAAAACCCAACTCACTCATACACTTATTGTTAGGAAACAGTCATTTGGCTTAGCAATTTGGAAAAACAATTACCGTATTCGACGTAATAAGCGCCCCGCTTTAATAAGCGCCCACGGCGATATTTGATAATATATATTATAATATATATAAGTGAACAATCCCATTTAGCGCCCCTTCCGATTGATCAATGTACACAAGACTTATATATTCGTGTATAATACGCACGCGTGTGTTATATGTACCCTTAATTATGGTCAATAAAATTCTGGAAAAATATATCTGTCGTATTTATATATGTCGAAATTTATCTTTCAACTTTTTTCCATCAAAATAATATTCTAATAAGCGCCCCCTGTTTCTAATTTTGAGAGCGCCCTGGGCGCTTATTACCTCGAGTACGGTATGTCTTCTTTGTAATAACATATTGCTGAGTGTGGCGTTAAACAACAAACAAACCAACACATAAAGTAATATCCAAATTAGGTATCTACAACACTTAAAATTGTTTGATTCACAAACAAATACAAAGTAGTAGTAGTATTGTAGAAAAAGATCCAACAGGGAAATCATTTTGTTCATATGGTTTTAATCATGTGTGGAATACTCAAAGTGTCTGTAATATTTATATCCTACAGAATATCATCAAAGAGCTTTAAGCCCCTATCTCACATACACGATTTAAGAAATTACGAACACGATTTAAGAAAAGTTGAAAAATCGAGTTGATTCGTGCTCGACCTTGTGGTTTATGCAAATTTCTTAACCAAACACGACCCTCATACGACCAAAAACGACCCTCATACGACCCTCATACGACCTTCATACGACTGAACACGACACTCATACGACGCCCACACGACTTAACACGAATCAACACGACCGCCATACGATTAAACCCGAATCATTACGATGTCCATACGACTACAAAAATAAATCGATCTCCATACGACTGAGCAAGACCTTCATACGACATATGTTTGTTTATTTTGGTCACGTGAGTCATGTAGTATATAAGCTGCATTGCAACAGCATTTCTGTGTCAGTCTTCACCATGTTCAACAACGAACAAGACCCGCAAGAAGCAGATTTTGGTGGTGGTTCAGAGGTTTCAGCTGGCTCATCTTGTCCCTGGGTACCGGATGGATGTTCATCCATGGTTGGTTTTGCTTGGAGGAGCTTCCGTTTCGGCCGCCTGAGGTTTGGCATGGCTGTAGAATGAGCTTTCACTTTCAGGGGGTTTCCCACGTTCTCACTCAGTCACGTGATGGGCTCTTCCGGTCGTATGACAAACGTATGGATTTCGTGTTCAGGCGTATGGGAGCCGTATGAAAGGCGTATGAAAGTCGTGTTGAATCGTGTTAAAACGTATGAAGGTTGTATGAGTTTCTTCCCACGCCCCCCAACACGACTGAACGCGACTGAACACGACCTTCATACGACTGAACACGACTTTTCAGCTCGGCTTAAATCGTGTTCTAAATTTTTGCATTGCATTGTCAAATAATTATAACACGATTTAAGCCGAGCTGCGACGCCCATACGACCACGCGCGACCGATAACGACTTAACACGAATGAACCCGAATGAGTGCCGACCTTCATACGTTCTAACACGATTAAAGGAAAAACGTTAAATCGTGTTCATTCGTGTTCAGATTCGTGAATGTGAGATAGGGGCTTTAGACTGTTCAATTATTGTTTTCAAAGTTAAATGACCATTCAAGCTGAGATTTGTACTCTAAAGTCAACTGTCCCAATTGAAGCACATTTCAGTAAAGTACACCAAAGAGGGCAATGAGGAGATTTATCATTATTCATGGAGAATCACAAATTATGAAAAATAAAGGTTGGCGGAAGGGTGTTACTAGAAACCTTAGATTTCGTCCTTTTTGTGAACATATTATCGACGTTGAGTTACGTTTTTTGTTAAGTATGCCCAATTTGGTATATTGTGACCAACATACTTTACCAAGAAATTGTCTTCAAACTTCTTACATTGATAACTTGTCCTTATGTGCTAAATACATTAAAGATGTCCTATTTTTATGTTCTTCATTATTCTAATTCTTATTGTACTTTAACAGAAGTTTCACCTCTTGTTACTGTACCACCGCTTTGTATGTAATCTGTGTATCTATACTGTGCGTGGGGCTGTGTCCTTTATACAGAAATATACTGATATTTAAAGACCCACCTATTGGTTTGTAAAAGATTGTTTGAAGCATGTGTTCAAACACCTATTGTGAATGTACTTGTTGAAAAGGAATGCCAGATCAGAGCCTGTAAAAAATTAATATATATATATATATATATATATATATGACAGCCGTTGTTACGTGTGTCACTCGGTTATTTGAACGGCATGGGCCTTGTTGATTACTACTGATTTCTTTGGCCAGTGGCGGATGTAATTCAAACTCCTTCCACACTGACACCGCATCAAAGATATTTGTGTACCGATAAAATAACTCTTAATGACAGGGTTGGGTGGTAGTTCACGCGAAACGGGCGACATTGTGCACGTGTCTATTGGGCGGCGCCTTTGATATCGCTTCCAAACATACTTTAATTGAATGACCCATTAAACGATGATACACATCAGCATCGCGGAGAAAATACAAGATTCGTTCATGTTGAATATATCAAGGCACCAATTCACCTTCCATAAACCCTTTGTGTCTTTTTGATTAATATATCCCCAATTAACGAAAATATGTATAACTGCATAACTGTTTATTCACGCGTGGTGTGAAATTGTTATTGAACGAGAACAGGTATTGTTGACACACCTGTAAATGAGGCCGACACTGTAATTAGATACAACGTACTAATGAGAATATGGGAATTATAAGGCTGTTGTACATTCTGGACTGTTCCCATTTTTTCATACTAAAAGTGGCAATGTATTTAAAAGTAGTTTTCGTGTCACAATATTCACTCAAGTCTTCCTACATCGCCTTCAAACATAATTCCCTTTGGTCAGTTCGACACCGCATATAATAAAATAATTTCATCCGCTCTGTGAATATTCCTGGTGACGAAAAGGCCCCCATGTACCTGTATTCTTTTCAGTATAACCATACGTGGCACAGACTACCTTAAGAGAATCATAGTTCATATGCTAATCCATCTCCAAATACCGTCCCGCTGAAGATGACTTTTCCAAATCCATCATCTATCCACCGCTATCCACATGATCATTTGGACTCAAATTTAATAGCTAAGGAAATCTGCAGGGATGAAGTACACTTTATAGCAAGCTGTGATCTTTATTCACACTACAGATATTCGTTATGGAGATCTGTAACTGAAGTTTATTGTAATTTTCCGCACCTCGCACCTGCTGACCAGTTGAACTTCTTAATGCCATTGTAAAATTCCCGGCTGCCCCTCAGTCTATGATAATCTATTAGACGAAGGAAATCTATTGTGTTATATATAATCTCTGTTTACTGATATTACATATGCACATATTGTAAAATATTGACAATGTTTTAAACGTGTAATTGGAAGCATGCAATGCTTCGTGAGTTCGGATGCATGAAGGCGGTTATAGTTATAGTGCGATGGATGTTGTGGAATGGTAGGAGGGTGTAACCACGAATAGGGATAAATGAGCGCGGTTATATTTATCGTTCGATGGATGTTGGGGGAATGATGGGAGGATGGATTATGCATGTAAGCATGCGCATGGATCCATGATGGCTGACGTTGACATAGTGAGGTGGTTGTAGGGATATGGTGGGGAAAGATGAATACGATGCGTGCGTGCGTGGGGATACGAGGGTTGGCGCAGATGTAGTGAGATGATTGTGTGAGTAAGTTGAGTTGTAGAGGGTGCATCTTTGCAGGTATGAGTGTGGATACATGCAGACTTGGGGTTAGCGGACGGGGTGTGCCGATACCGATGTCTGTTTTTCATGTGTTACGCATTTTAATGATTTTAGTGTCTCAGAGGTCATACTGGCCGGGCATTCTACATATCTACCCCAACTACGCAGCATTTGCTATGCTGTACAATTCTCCTTTTTCCTCTTCTTCTCTCTCCCTCTCTCTCTCTCTCTATCGCTCTCTCTCTCTCTCTCTCTCTCTCTCTCTCTCTCACACACACACACACACACACACACAGACACAGACAGAGAGAGTCCTAGGCCAAATGCAAGAATAATGCTTATCTTTAGGGATCTCACAGAAGCAGTAAAAGTGTTATTCAATAATTTGGATGACACCCCCCAACCCTCCTATCAGTATGGAACTAGCGACAGAATGTATCAGGTTACTACTATTAACAAACAAGGTTTTCCCATTACTTGACCTACACAGCCCGTTGGTTGAACATGGAGAGCACAGTCTCTGATGTAGTGGGTTGGGAGTTTTTTTTATGTCTTCCAAGTCCAGTAGTTAATTTATGGTTACTTAATCTTAGTTTAGAAAAGTGCACTCGATATTTCCTTATCTTACCCTGACGGAGGTTAGGTTCACTTTAAAGTACCCTGTATGTCCTTTGGATGTTTCCTCTTGCTTTGGTTGCATTAGCACCTGAAGAGTTTCCTTGAACAGAGAGTCTTATTTAGACTTTATTGTCTTTTTGAATGCTGGTGATAGGAGATCTGAATTACTTTAAATATTATGTTTTTTTTCTAAGAATAGATTGAGTTGGTATACCTGTCCTATTCGTTTCTTCACCAAAGTTTGTTTTTACATTTACCCGAGGCAAGTGCGTTAACTGACTATAAAAGTCCAGTTTCAACCCTTGCCAAACTATGCTGGAATTTCCGGGCTCGATCGTAGCGCCACCAATGTTGTTATTACGAGTTATGTCCCTTCTATGTCCCTCCTATTGACCAATTGACCAATCTGATTCAACCTCTCATATCACTTGCAATTGTTTCAAACAAATTGGCGGCGCAATGTCAAGACGATCTGATCGATAATACATAGATCCAATCCGGAGCCATTTAACAATAGGGCGCCATATTGTGCCAAAAATGCTAACGTTTTCAGCTACGTGTTGTTGTTTTTTAGCACGAAGGCGATTTTTCATTTAATTTTAGCTATTTTCATGAAGGAGAATCGCGGTGCGAGGTCGAGGTCTGAAATTGGTTAATAACAACCCAAGGATCGCAAGCGGTGCCTACTTTTGACGGCTTTCGTAAAAGCAAACCATTTGAAAATTGGATTAGGGAAGAGGTCGAAAATGGATATAGAGCACACTGGGACACTCCGACATACGCGAATTTTGTAGGAGCGATATACTGCAAGCAGTGCCTTCATTGACGGCGTGGTTTTAGCAAACCATTTGAGGATTTGAATATGGCCAAATATATCTGCGTACGTTTGTACGCGCGACACTTGAATTCTGCCATTGCTGCTTACATCTGCATTCACTTTAGATATATAACTTGCTGAACTTACGTGCGTCACATTCGAGATTTCTTCCCACGCCCCGATAGTGTTTTTATGTATACAAACGGTAATCTAAAGGCAGGAGAGGTTTATTGTATTGGAGATTCGGGATGCACGATGACACAAAAAGGAACCTTGAGAACCGACACCGACATACCGACGCAACAGGGAGCCAACCATGCATGTCAGTTAATTTGCAGTGTCACCTAGTCACTACGGCTGCTGTTATTGTACGTCTATTGGTGTACAGGCCACACCTCGCGAAGTGCATCAAATCACTTGAACACTTAATGTTCAATTAAAAACATGAAACGATTTGCACAATATCTGTCGACGCCTAGTTGGCGGTAAACATGCTTTGCAAATTCATATTCACTATTCACTATTTTAAATTGAACATTTGCTTCAAATGTAATTGCTAAGTAAGTATATCTATCCGTAACAAGTGTTTTTCTATCACCAACATTTGTTTTGTCACCATTGTTCTTTAGGTTATTTGTTGCTCAAAATACACTTAGAACATCAAGTAACACTTGTAGTTTTCTTTTGAATCGGCAAATAGTACTGAGTCATCGGCAAACAACCAATGACAAATGTTTAAACCATTAAGTGTTATATTTTAACTTTCAGATTTGATACAGAGTGGAAGATCATTGAGGAATATATTAAATAATATGGGAGACAAAATGCATCCTTGACTTACCCTGATGTTGGAGTTAAAGGATTGTGAAATGCCCTTGTCTGTTTTCACTTCATAAGAGATATAGTGATGGTATCATTTTTAATTTTGATAATTTCTTTGTTGGGAGTTGTGATCTATCAACTGAATCAAAGGCCTTTTGAAAGTCTGTATTTCCTTTTACTTTTTGTAGAATATATAAATATTAAAAGAACAAATACATTATCTGATGTCGTTATCCCCTTTCTAAATCCAGACTTACAGTGGTCTTGTAATAGAGTTTTTTTCAACGTGTTCCATGTGTTCCATTATTCTTTCATTTATGAATTTGCAAAATAGTTTACCCAAGCAGCTGCTTAGTGCAAAACGCCTGTAAGTGTTTGGGTCAGTCTTATCACCCTTCTGATGTAAGAATTCACTGGAATAGAGCTAGCTGGAGCTGGCCAGACTTGCTTTTGTATACATATTTAGTAGTTTTCGTTGTTGTTTGTAAAAAGACATTAAACAGTTTAACCAAATGGGCTACTAATGTACAATATATTGATTTTAAAAAATATGTTAATTTATGTTATCTTCGCCTGGACTTGAATTGTTTTATAAAAGTGCTAATTTCATTTGATGTTATTTTTTGTCTGTCACATATTTGCATATCTCTTTGTTTTAGTGTTGTAAATATTCCTGAAGTGGCTTGTTAGCTTCTCATGATCAGGATAAATAAATTTTAATATTGTTTAATAGTTTCCAGAATTGGTTCCTGTTTTGATGAATATTACGACTGTACTGTTAATAGACATTTTAAGTTTCCATATGTGTCATTCACATTGTGAATATATCGTGTAACTACCATTCTTTCTTCTTACTTGGTTTAAAAAGAGCAAACCCAACTCATTGAACCTCTTACTCTGTGCTGACCATCAGCATATATTTAAACCATGTGGTCTAGCCGACAGGCACTGGTGCTCTAAATGGTCCAGCTGTGAAGTGTGGGTTATAACGCAGGAGGTATCATATTACCTGATTTTGATGGTATCGCTACATTTTGCCCCGAAGTAAATACTTGATTTTTCACAAAAGGTTACATTGGTGTGTTCCCTCGATTTATGGTTACCTACTCTCTCTCTCTCTCACTCTCTCTCTCTCTTTACTCTCTCTCTCTCTCTCTCTCTCTCTCTCACACACACACACACACACACACACACACAGAGTTTAACATGATTTAGTTGTGCTATCTTTTCTTATGTTAGTTTATTTAATTCATAATAAGAAACAATAAGTAATAATTTGCTTACCACAGTATGGATCATATCCGTTTATATCACTATCTGATTTTATTGCAGAAATTATTATGAATTAAAAATGTTTTCACTGCATTAGACATTAATTTGCCGTTATTTGAAATGCAAATTTTTCAACAAAAAACTATAAATAGTTAAAAAGTAAAGATTTGAATGCCTTAACTGGCAGTGTTTAAGAAGGGAATATTAGTCTATTAGTCTCATTTATCAGATATGCGCTTCAGTAGCATTATTGTATACCTCCAGGTAGATGGTTACATTGTATCTCTCGTCATTTGTGGATAATTCAACAAGCATCATAAAAAGAAATATTCTACCATGAAGAAATAATACAGAGTATACAATAACTCGCAATTGTTCAAACAGAGGTTTCAAATCCATAACATATATTTGATTTTAACAGATTTGTGGGAGGTGGAAATGCTTTAATCTCTACATTGTGCCACTTGCTCGTGTGCCCTTGTTCTATTCAACAAACAGACCAAACCGGAGACTCAACACCATATCCGATAACACTGACCCTGGCTGAAGTGTCGTCCATTGATGTCAATACATCGATGACAAGTGAGGATATCATATAGTTATCGTTGATGCCTCGCTGCACTATCACTATAACAAAAATAGTAACCAAGTTGACTAGTATGTACATCACTACAATGACTATGTACATTGTCATGCACTTCGTAATATCAAATACTTATATTTTATTGTGTGATGACTTTAACTGGATCAGTGGTAACATGTGATATTAATGATCCATCAATTTCTCTCCTGGTTGGTCTATCCATGTATAAAAATAAAAATAATAAAATTAAAAAGACATAATTCTTAAATTCATGCTAGTGCTGAGGCAATCTAGACTTGTCCAATCATTCTAGACTTGAGTTGGACTCATTTTTTAATTTAATTCTCTTGGGTCTGGGAGACAGTCTACGTCACAGCTCATACCACACAATAACAAGTCCAGTCCGGAGCCCCCGTCCGTTATAGCAGCTGGGGTCTGGTTATATCATCTGACATGGCCAACTGTGCTCTTAAGTAAACAGGAACCTAATCAGTGGGGTGTCCTGTATCATCCTTATTCGACTGCTTATAAAAGTCTGATATCTCACCTCACACCTGCTTAATATATATTTTGTGCTGAATTTTCGAAACACAGTGAGTGAGTTGGTACTACATATGTATATGGTTCTATTTTAAAAGACTGCAGCGCTTCATTTTGAAAACAAGTTGTGTGTACTGTTTAACGCCGTTCTCAATATGCCAGTGATATGACGGCGGTCTGTTGTATAAGAAATCTTGAATCTTGAATCTTGAAAGTTGTAACTTTCTCGCAAATACGTATCACATGCAGCATACAGTATATCAAGTGCAATATGCTCAAAACTACATGCAGTATACAGAGTGTGTCGCAACCTCGGTGATGGGCAGGGGCACATATTTCCTTCCCCTCTCCCTAATCAAACACCTGATGGGAGGTCACAGGTCAGGCGTGCACCCGTCAGTTGTCTTATACGGCCAAGAGTATGATCTTCCGGACGACCACTGCGCTAGGGCAATGTGGATTGCATATGAGGTACTGCGTAGTCTGTTCTTATTGCCTTTTTAAGAATATGATCAACACTGTTTTAGAAGCCATGTGCATGACTAAGCACCTATAGGGAGTGAATGAGTGAGTGAGTATGTTTTTACGCCGCTTTTAGCAATATTCCAGCAATATCACGGCGGGGGACACCAGAAATGGGCTTCACACATTGTACCCATGTCGGGAATCGAACCCGGGTCTTAGGCGTGACGAGCGAACGCTTAAACCACTAGACTACCCGACCGCCCGCACCTATAGGGAAGAGCTCACAATAAAATGTTACTGACCCATGGACGGACTTGTGTTTTCAAGACGTATCAAGTAGAACTCCTACGGCAGATGTATATAAGATGGTTACAGCTTGCTAACTGTAACATTAACGGAACTTAACGTCATATTTACACATTTTTGATGGGGCGACAATGTGGCAACGAGCCATATTTTAACCTTGAAGAATGTCGCGTTGTCGCAAGGTCGCCCTTTGGTAAAATAAAAAAACAAAACAGATTATTCAAAGAGCGACAATAATGCGGAAAATGACCAAAATGTCGCATTGTCGCGCTTTGATTAATTTTGACATGTTTTGCTTGTTTTTGATAGGTGACAATGCGACAATGTGACAATGTCCCTTCTAGGTTTCCATAGTAATCCGTGCAAGTAAAGCTGAGTCATGACAGAAGCCTAACTTGCCTATTAAAATATAAAGTGTAAAAATGCGCTATTGCAGCATCTGATTTCATAGCTCTTCAAGAAGCATTTATCAATAATGGGATGGGCAATGAGCTCAACTGCATGCCGATGTCAGAGTCTAAACGTTCTGATTAACAATAAGGTTGCATAAGGTTGTTTCGATAACACTGAAGGCAAAATGCACTATGGGCGAATGTAAACGACGCAGTGGTGCATAAAGTCATGCATAAAGCTGTTTTGATAAACCTGTAGGCGAACTGCACTGTTGACGAAAGTAGACAACGCCCTCTGTAAGGTTTCACAAGAGGGAAATGAAGATTTTTTAAATTACACACTTCAAGGTCTGGAACGAATGACTGCTGAAGTATTTGGCGTTTCATTTAAGAATTGACTTTCACTTTGTGTGAGTTCATTGGAGTGACCTTCATAGAGTGAGGGCCAAACTGTATGAACGTCAGAGCGTTCACAAAGTGAAAGTAAGTTCTTATAATTTTTATATCACTATTTTATACCTCGCGGGATGTAGCGCTAGATCTATACGTGCGCCCTCTTGTTTACACTGACAGCCACACAACAAGAAGCTGTATCGCGGAATAAAATATTTTCCCAAAGAGTGAAGTCACATAAGCGTTTGTCTGCTCTACATGCTTTTCAGGAACATCTGTTTTAGCTTGTTTTCAAGAAATGTATTCCAATAATATCCCCATTAGATGAGAAAGCTCTGTTAAGAACTACCCCAGTAAGTCTGTCACAACGACAGAGCGTCGTAATACATTTACATCAAGTACAAGACGTCAAAATGGCCGACACATCAAACGTGGCGGGAGAGATTTCCGAAGTCGTTAATGAACCTGTGGCCATTTCAGGTGTTTCATGACTGATCATTTGGCCGATCATTGAAAGGTAATTGTAACGAAGTTTCAATTAGATACTAAGCTACATTCATAGATTGCTGTAGACTGTCACAGCAATAGCTTGGATGTGCTTTTCTTCATTTGGTTCTCTAGGATGGGTTGTACCGAGGTTATCCTTGAACGGACATGCAATCAAACCCTCCGACGTATCATAATGTATGTTAAAACGCTAAGTTCAAAATTAAAGGGTCTAAATGGTGAGAAGCGAGACCTCTGTATGTAATTCGTGCTAGGTAATTCCCGTGGATTTCCCCAAGGAATATGCAAGTAGTCCGTGAGTGTTTACATCATTTCAAGAATGCAGCCTCGTGAAAAACGCATGGACGTCAAGATGTGTCGTTCATACACTTATGAACTTCAGTTTCGCGGTTATGTAACAGACCTCTCGTCCAAAGGAAAAGCCGAATATCGTATATTAACTTCACATTAAAAAAATATTTACTGTTATAACAAAATAAAATACAACCTATTGTCCGAAAGAGATGACCATATCGGAGGGATATGTTATCTCAATAAACTTGATAACATGGTTTGGTTTGACGTCTTGGCGCGTGTCTGAATTCCATCCACAGGTTTCGTATCCTAAAACTGACTAATCAGCAAATCTCGCCGCACTGCGCGAGATAGATACAAGAGCAGGGCATGCCAGAGATACGAAACCTAAATATTAAATGCTCCCTAAAGGAAGACTTGGGCATCGCGTGCGTCAGGTGACCAGCGCCATCTGATTGGCTGTTAACATTTGTACAAAACGGAGCAAAAAAGCATCGTTATTCCGTCCATTTTACGCTTGAAAAACACGACGCTTTTTCGGACAGTTTCTGGACGCTCACCAATTAATCAGTTTTAATGAATTTTAGTCGTTTTTCCGTCCAATGACCATATACGGAAAACACGACGTTTTCGTGTTTGCAGTGTTGTCAGTAGATATTTATAAATATATAAATGGATAATTACAGGTCACAAAATCCAGAGATGCGGTTACTACAATAGTCAAAGAATGCGTGGCATAACAGAAAACAAGTTGAAAAGTGTACTTCATTTTTTATTGTAACATAAAAGTAGGTATGTTCCCTGATCTGATTGGTTAAAAAGTGTTGTCGAATGAGCATAACATCACTGAATTTTTTGGGTCTCATCACAGTGTATGTATACATTAATTAATGGAACTATTTTTGAAATCATCAACATGGAGGAACAGATGGAAATTTACCCTGACTTCCACATCGGAGATTTCGATGAAATATTGAGTGAATGGGACGACGAGACATTTTCTGAGATAATTCAAGAATTTGAAGGTAAATGAAATTTACCTTTTTCCATTAATTACACAATCATAATCATAATTGATGTAATTTCCTTGGGCTTGGCCAAAGGAAAAAACAAAACAAAATCAATAATAATTATTTTTAACAGAGTAAAAAACATTTATTGCAACTCTTTAACAGTTATGACTTTCATACACCCACCTTATTTTGTTATTATTATTACTCACAACAGCTGAAAACCGTTCTGAGATGGCCCCTGAACTAGGAAATACAGCCAGCGTTTCCGTAGAGCCCAAAGTTCAAGCGTCCAGTGACCGCTTCGCGTCCCTTGATGCAAAAGCAGTACAAGACATCGTGGATGGAAACCTCTCTAAATCTACTGCGCGTAATACCTCCTGGGGAGTTAAAATATTTCGACGTAAGCCATTAAAACATAAAATACATAAACACATACCAAACATTCCTACGCAGATTCGATCAACATCAGCGAGAGTTACCTCCCTTACACAATTGCCATGATAGCAATGTAAACAATGAACAATGTGCCATCGCAAAAATTGGCAATAATATAAGGAGATTGACCAAAATTTTAACGTAAATTACATATTTCGTTTTGTAAGAATTATGATATGTTATGCTAAATGGATATACGGAAATTTCATTTAAACACAACGCTGTAATAATAACAAATTACTCCCACTTACTGTCACATTTGTACCCTGAGCACGGCAATCTTTTCACTTCCAGAATGGCTTGGTTTCCGAGGTTTTGAACTTCGAAGAGCTTCCTGCTTTTCAACTGAATGAGAAACTGAGGTTCTTTTATGCCGAAGTCAGAATTGCTGAGGGAGATCTTTACTCAAAATCGAGTTTTGTTGGGTTGCGTGCTGCCATACACAGGCACATCAGGGGACCGCCATTTGAGCGCAGCATAAACATAATCCAAGTCCGGGAATTTCACACTGCAAACAATGTTTTTCTGTCCATGATTAAAACTTAAGCGCGATGGCCTTGACCAGACAACACATCATGCTGCTATCCCCGAGAATGATTTAAAAATAATTCGTGAAAGTTTTGATACGGAAACTCCTTCCGGCTTGGTTCGTAAAGTGTGGTTCGACCTTACACTCGGTTTCGCTCGTCGTGGTAAAGAAAACCAAAGGGAATTAACTGCATCTTCCTTTCGTGTATCCACTGATGAACAGGGGTTCGAGTTTATTGAAATGACACACTCCGAAGTCACTAAAAATCACAGGGGGGACCTCAAAGACTCAAATGGGCCCAACAAACGCATTTATGCAACATCGGACCAATTCTGTCCTGTACTTTCATTAAAAAAATACATGTCTCTCCTCAATCCCAACAATGGTGCTTTTTACCAGGCTCCAAAGAGACGAGTCCACGTCGACGACACCGAATGGTACACCACGAGGCCAGTTGGTGTAAATGTCATTGGCAACATGATGAAAGAAATTTCTACCAACGCTGGTCTCAAAGTGTATACAAGCCATTGTCTTCGGGCAACTGCCGTCACATTGCTGTCAAACGCAGGCATTGAAAATCGCGATATTTGCAAAATAACCGGCCACAAAACCGATGAATCGTTGAAGTCGTATTCCATTGACTCGAGCTCGGCTCAAAAACGACATTATTCGAACATTCTTCAGGGACAGCAGCAGCTTGCTAACGAACGTAATTTGGTACCTGTCCAAGATACAAATATCCTGCCACTGTCCACTGCTCCCGTGAATAACTTCCAGGTTAATTCTTCTGCTAATTCCCATGGTCTCTTTCACATATGTAATTCCACTGTAACAGTAAACAACTTTTTTCCATCCCAGCTAAGCTGCATGTCTAAAATCTCGCACATGTTTGACCGCTCTGTCACCACCTCAGTTTCAGGCGAGTTGACACTATCTTGTGCAGGGGCCAAACAGTATGTACGTCTTTTCTAACTTTGATTATTTGTAGTTTATAAATACGCATAACTAAAAATTACAAGTAAGATGAGGAACTGTGATAAAGAATTGAATTTGTGATATTTCCTGTTTTTTTGTTTATTTTCTGAGAAATGGGCTTGAACATGTGACCACCCTTTCGTAAAATGAACCATCATTATTGGAGGACCTCGAAACCATTGATCGGTTTCGCGGCACCCCATATCATGCATCTTTTCGAAGGTGAGCACGAGGAGGCGTATTACTAACGACAGTCTTGTTGTGTCATGCGCTCAGTATATTAGTTCCTCCTAAATATCGATTTTAATTAACGTTCATGTTACAATTGGCGGAGTGTTCAATTAAAAAAATTCCGTACATCCATTCAGCATAACATCACGCAAATCTTACAAAACGAAATATTTATCTCCTTATTAAGTGTATTTTAATAAGTTGAGCCCCGTCTCTTGATATCACAATATCGCAAGTTGACAACGCCCATTTTAGAGATTTGTATTTTTTCTGTAAGCTGATTCTCTATGCGCGTCGGCAACTTCCGCCAAGCTGGGAGACCGTACGTTCAGGCCTGCATTTCCAAAGCTCATCTCGTTTATGTGACGTCACACTCGGCTCAGTTCAGCTGGACTCCGTGGCTATATAGACGTCTCGTTGAAATATACGGGAAGTAGTTGAGATGTAATGCCAGTCCAAGTTGCACACTTGTTAGCTCATTTTCTGATCAGATTAAAAAATATCGAATATTTAATTACTGGATAGTCGTTACCGGTAAATTGAGCATCACTAATATCCCGAGACCCCCAATAACGCGATATGAAATGATGAACGGGTTATAATGAAACTGTGTGGATGAACTCAGTATGCTGCTTCAAATATTATACCAGAACCTCAAATACTATATAATATGTGAAAATAAGCAAGAGATTTTTTTTCATACCATTTATGTGTGTAGAGGAAGCGGCGTTTATATTCTAAAAGCATAAGTTACACATCAATGTTATATCAGTTGTTGTGAAAATGTTGAAAATATCACTCAGTGAGTGCATGTGTATGGTATTACGCCGCTAATAGCAATACTTCTGCAATGTGAGTGAGTGAGTATGGTTTCACGCCGTTTTTAGCAATATTTCAGCAATATCACGGCGGGGGAAACCAGATATGGGCTTCACACATTGAAACAATATGGGGGAATCGAACCCGGGCCTTCGGCATGACAGGCGAATCTGCAATATGACTGCGAAAAAAACACAAAACCAGGCCCCATACACGTACAGCACATGTATATGAAAACAAGAAATCCTCGATGCGATGCATCAATACGGCAGCAAACTTTATGTTCGTCAAATTTAATTTAGAATATGATATATTCCCCAAATGTTTAATCAACACAGGCATTATTAAAACAATATGAACATCTGTTTCAATTCATTCCGTTTTACATCTTACACCAAGTTTTTGACTACTATGCGATTACATTACATACTGAATTTGATAAACGATGTCTTTCCACAGTACATGAGTGCAGTAACCTGTTCCAGCCGCTCGTGAAGACCGGTACTTTGGCACTGTCTCCCTCTTATCATTGCGGTAAATGTTCTGACAAATGTCATGCATTTCAGGGTTTGAATAAAACTGAACAGCTAACAACATATCGGGAATTTTAAGAACTAGTAGGCCAAAAGGTTAAAAAAATAGAAATGCATGTACTTTCTTTTCAATTACCCATATGTCCCATATTCAATGTCCATAATGGAAAGCCAGGAAAAGTTGAGTGACCTGACAATTATTCCCGTATGACTATGTCTGAGTTCCGCTTATACCCCCATTCCACTAGGCGGCGATCCACGGTGAGCAACGCGATCTGAAGGAGCGCCATAGATCGCCATATAATGAGGCGATATCGGGGTACTTGTGATCCGATTGCGATCAGATAGCGATCCAATAGCGATCCAATAGCGATCCAATAGCGATCCGATGTGATCAGGATGCGCTCCATTGGCGATCTATTGGCGATCCGATGGCGATCATTGTGATCTATGGCGCTCTTCTCTGATCCGTTAGCGATCGAGTGCGATCTATGAAGATCCGTTAGAGCTCAAGTAGCGCTCTAGGCGATCCGATTGCGACCTGATCGCCGCAAAGGGGCCCGATCCTATAAAAACCTGTGGCGTTCAGCCGCGCTCTTCAGTTCTGTGCTTGGCAGCAGACGGGTATCACCATGAACCACAGAGATGCTGCCATATTACAAGTGATTTACAATCTCGTGAACCATGCCATCGTGAACCAGCAGATTGCTATTCTGGCCCAGCAGCCTCGAAGAAGAAGGAGAAGGAAGGCTTTTTGGGTGAGACCCTGGAGCGCCATTGGAGCGCCACAGAGCTCCAAATCGTGAACCAAACAGCGAAGCACAATCAGAGCGCCATCGGAGCGCAATCGGAGCGCCAATGCATCTCCGAGGAGCGCCATCAGATCGCCATGGAGCGCCGAAGATCGGTAGGCCAGCTTTTGTGGCGATCGGCGGCGCTCTATGGTGATCCGATAGCGCTCCGATTGCGACCTTGGCGATCAAGTAGCGCTCCGATGGCGATCTAGGCGATCAATTAGCGATCTGATGGCGCTCTGGGCGGAGCGCCACGGATCTTTGTGCAGGGGAGTCAACCGGCGGCGACCTTGGCGATCATTGAGATCAGTTAGCGATCCGTTAGCGCTTTTGGCGATCTTGGCGCTCTATATGGCGCTCTATGGCGCTCTCACGGAGCGCCGTGGATCGCCGCCTAGTGGAATGGGGGTATTACTGGCTCGTTGTCCGATGGATATGAGGTGTCCTGTCTCGGCTAGCAACGAGTTCTAGCGGCGAGTTCAATAGCACTTACCAGCACGTGCTGATGTGAGGTACCGGATGACTGTGAAAGCGGTGACGGAATGTGTGATTTGGCCATGCTTACTAAGCTTTGACATGTTTGTTTGTAATTAACTTCTATCAAACGACTTTAGAGAATCCTGTTATCGACTTGTCACACCGACCTCTTGATAGTCTTATGAGCAACTCGTGTGTCCACTGCACGTGTACAACATGGGTACACCCTCTCTAACTGTAACACACCAAATATGTTTGCCAAAATTCTGTGCACCGCCTACTTGTCTTAAATGAGTTGGTTCAACGTATCCTGGATTACCAGTAACAACCATAGACTTTTCAGACAACTATTACAAATAAACCAATAGTTGTATTTCGTGAACATTTACCTTTGCACATAACAGACACATGTGTAAATATCACAAATGAACTGAACTCATTGGGTTTTATATTGAGAGAGGTACCTAATATATTGTTCAAGTGGTGATTAATTTCGCGTTCTCGTGCTTTTGCCAATTGCCTAATTATACAGGTCTATGTAACTATTTTCAAAAAACGCGAGATTGCGATATTTGACCAATGTTGCGATCTCGCGTTCTCGTGTTTTCGTGTCAATTGCCCATTCAGTTATATGCAGCTATTATAAAAAACGCGAGATTGCGACACTTGACCAATGTCGCGATCTCACGTTCTCGCGTTCTCGTGCTTTTGTGCCAATTGCATATACAGTCATATGTGAGGTGAGGTGAAATTGGGTTGACTATTTTCAAAAACGCGAGAACGCGAGAACGCGATATTGCGACACTTGACTAATGTAGCGATCTCGCATTCTCGTGCTTTTGTGTTAATTGCCTGTACAGTTATATGCAACTTTATTTTCAAAAACTCGAGAACGAGAGAGCGCGAGATTGCGACACTTGACCAATGTCGCGATCTCGCGTTCTCGCGTTTTTCTGCCAATTACTTATTCAGTCATCTTGTGGCTCAGTTGTCTGAGGCGTCGCAATTCGCTGTGTAGAGTTGCGTCCCTTGGGCGTGTCAGAAACCTATGATGGTGGGTTTCGTCCCATTTCAACCTGACAAGCCGGGGTATAACTGAAATATAAATACTCTCTAGAGCCATGCCGGTCCCTCAGGCTGGATATTGGGGGGTACTTTTCCAGTATAAACATGCCTAT